TATTATATTACAAGTGGAGAAAAACAGTAGATGAAATCAAACATTATCATACAATAAGTCAGAAAAAAGAATCTACATTTGAAGATACAAAAAAGAAACTTCAGGAAAAACAGATCTACAACCTTAAAAAAGGGAAAAAATACCATAAATAGTTAAAAATATACTGGAACATAAATCTTAAGATACACTGGAAAATGAGAACAAGCCAAGTGCAACAAAATGAAGATCTTACATTGTAGTAGATTCAATAAGTTAACAGGAAATTCTATTCAATATTTTGCTAAAGATTATTTTATTAATCTCAATTGAAACAGGAAACTAATTGATTTACAGTATTCCTGCTGATCAACAATCACAAGTAGTGCACAGACTCTCTTGGATACCATCCAGAGAGAAAGCAATATATAAGATGAAGATATAAACAGAAGGTACTGCAACAAACCCTTGGCATCCTGCTATATTTAGCTTGCCACTATCTTAGCAACATGATCTCTGACAGAAAAACAAATCCATGTGCATAACAAAACCTATCTGCACTGCCAGAGATCAAGACTTATCGCAATAAAGACAAGGACCAAAAGACAAAACTAACTTAGTGGAAAAAGATACCCGTGTGATCTTGCCAGCATTAAGACTCGTATATGTAATGTAACAACTAGAAATTCCTTTGCTCATTTGTGACAGACCACGTTTAAATACTGTCCAAAAGACATGAAATGTTTAAATCCATAATGGAAATATATAGACATGATAAATCTAGAGGGGAAGAAAGCATCAAAACTGTATCTGCACAGTGCAGTTTAAGGTTAAGGTTTGACTTTGTAAGTCAAAGGCAAATTTTGAATAAGAATTATCAGCTTTTCTACAGGATCAAAGATGTCACAGCTGTGAGCATCAAAAGCTATAATAACATTTAACAATATAAAAAAATATTGGTAAAACACTGCTCTTTTCAAATATTTATTCAAACACTGAATAAAGAATGGTATTCTCAATTTTATGCTGGAGCCAAAAAGTATAGTCATAGAATTTCATAAAAAGGTGATCTCCAACAAGGTAAACCAATAATGTGCCAGTTATGACCTTCTCTAAAACCTTTGATAAATAAAAGATAAGGAGACTAGGAACAGCATCTTTAGAAGGATGGCATAATGAAAGCCATTTTTAAGAGGCAAGAATACCAGTCTCCAAGAAGAGAGAAACATACTACAAGTTGCAATTTATTCTTTAATCCATGCTAAAAATAAACACAGGGTTTATCCTACAAGGATAAAAACACTGGAGGAACTAAAACTGAGTAGGATTCAGAATCAATAGAACAGTGCTACTTTGTTAGTGACAAGCAGTGACAGTTTCAGCCTGACCGGTACAGGCTACCAAACTTGCAAATCTTGCTGCAACAAAATGAAGGGCCTTAGATAAACAGCAAACATGTTGAAAAACTAGAAACTTAAAAATGGGTAAGGTGACAATCAGTAACAATCTACTGTTATAAGGGGTTAGCTAGGTTATGTAGAAGTTAAAAGTAATTAAAGGGTTGTCTGATGAAGTACATTAACAAGAAAACAGCAGAACATACCAAGTATACTGTAAATACATTAGCTTAGTCTACAAAAGAAGTAAAAAATAAAAGAAATTCTTCATAACATAGGTGCAAGAAAAATAGTGCATCTTCTTAAAAAGAAGCAGCTATGATAGTTTATATAGATCATTCTACCATAAGGGCAGGCAACCCTTGAGCATACAGCAGCGCTGATCGGTAAAAAAAATGGCAAGTCTGTACCCAGTTCCACAACCGAAAACCAAATCCCAAATAGCAGTATGACACTTCCAACCACCTCCTCTCAAAACAAGTTTTATGCTCACAGTTATTCTGGGAGACAGGGCTATACTCTTATTATTGTTCAACTGGGTCTCAGAAACAAACACAATTCATTAATATAATTTTGGAAATGAGACCAAAGTAAAACATCGCCACCTATATAAACCAGTTGCCCATTCAACTAAACAACTGATCATCTCTAAGAGAAAGCTAGAGTCCCAAACAAGGAATCAAAGTCAAATTTTGAAAAGCAAAAAGTGTCTAAAAAGGAAACTGGAGATAGAAGATCACATATTTAGTCTACCTATCAAACATTCATATCACTGTTTAGTAGTGTTTAAGTGCAACAGAGACACTGGTAAATTCCCTATAGTATACTTATCCAACGTGGCAGCAGCTTGATTATCTGCTCTTCTACAGACAGCTCCATCATTAATGATAGATGAAAATTAAATAAGGCTATGCTCTACCCAGGGGAACTATTTTTTTCTCAGCTTGTCAACTATAACCTACAAGCAGCTGAAAATAAAATATAGTTTCTTAACCATTCACAAACCACTAGCATAGCCACATCCCATTATGGGAGAACTTGGGAATTAGAAACCTGAATCTAAAAGCACTAAATAAAAATTTGCAACTTATGTCAGCATCAGTGAACATGTTCAAACATACACAGTAAATAAATACAGCTCAAAACCAAAACAGAACTAAAAAAAATACAATGAATAAAAATACATACTAATTTTAGAGCTAGAAATTCTGCTGATACAGTACAGAACTATACTGACATAGGTCTTAGAAGGCTAGGAACACCTAAACCAATTCAACAATTTTCAATTTATATAACTCCCCTCACAAACACAACATAATAATGAGAAACAAAAGAATCAAACTTCTAACCTAACTGCATGTTACTGAGTTGCTTAAGGCTTACAGCATTTCTGAGTATCTTTTATTAAGCTAATTTAAGAAAGCTCACATTTAAGAAGACAAAGCAGTTGTAGCTCTACAATACTTTAAAAGAAATACAAATGTATTATATCCATACAATACCTGAAGAGGAGAAATTATTTTGCTATTCAAGGTAGCTGGTTTAGCATGAGATTCTTTGAAGCTTTCTGGTGTTGCGAGTTGGCTTACTGTGCACGAGATGTTTGGAGTTATAGTTATTTTGCTAAGAGACTGCGTTGGTATTTGGTCATGCTGTGGGGTCAACCTGAGTTTCTGGAGAAGATCAACACTTGGAAGAGGTGTGTTTGAAGAAGTATTTCCTGTACTGGTTGTTGCCAAAGGTGCTATAAACTGGGTTTGGCAAGCCATCAGATTTTGTGGAGTGTGGTTTGCATCAGATGGTGGTTGATTCATAAGTGGGGGTATCTGCTTGGAAGCTTGCTGCATAACCTGCATGATATTGTTTGATTTTAGGTTGTGAAGTATCTTCGGAGTAGCAGCTTCTGCTGTAGAGACCGAGTTAAGAATGGGACTTAAACGAACTGTATAATTTGCAACATTCTTTATGTCAGGCTGTGAAACTGAAGTTGGAGCAATGAGCACAGGTGCTACACAGTCCTGCGAAGTCAAGGTACTGGCACTGGTTTTGACACCTGAACTCTCTCCTTTTCCCAGTGGTTGATGTGTCACTGATGACTGCTCAAAGGAAAAAGGTAAGAGCAAGTTGTGTTCTTTGCCAGACGTATCAGCTGGCAACTTCTCCATTTTGTCTGGATTGGAACATGGAATTATTGGTTGCTCCTTTGGCAAGGAGGTTCCAAATAATTCTTCTACTGTCAGATGTTTGTGTCTTGATTGAAATAGCTGAAAAAATAAAAGTAGGAAAGAAACAATAAAAAAAAACTGTTCAAAATTGCATTATTTTTATACCTTAAGCACTAGTTTCACATTACCTGCAAAGGGTGGTAAGTGAAGTTTTCTTTGCTAATTAAAAAAAAAAATCAAAGTTTTACTGAAACATAAACAACGCAATTGACTTAATCATAATTTGTGTACATATAATCTGGAAGTTTTCCAAGACATTTTCATTTGAAATAAAAACAAAATAAACAACCTACAGACACTGCATTAGCACAACTTCATGTGCGTTGTAAGAAAAAGTGGCAATAAATGTCACGTGACAAACAGTGAGGGTTATCAGTAAATTTAATGGATCAGTAGATGAAAGGGGAAGAGTGAGAATGCAGAAACGTTAGAAGACAGTCAATAAAAGCTGTATGTATTTCTGCAGCTCTGCATTTCTTTTTTTAATTCTTCTCGTAGAATAAATATTGTAACAAGAGAAAGCCATATTTTTGCGTTAGTAAAAAAGGAAGAGTATGGTCAATTACCTTATAGTTTGTTTTTATTCTCCAGTACTATGAATATGGAAAACACTACATTCCCTACTGATTTATTTTCTATTTGGCAAACGTGTTTATCATTGTGTGCTTTAAACAGACAACAAAATGCCTGTCTTAAATACTTTAAAGGATACTGAAAAAGTATAGGTTATTTAAACTGAATAGGTACATGAAGAAAGCTCCTACAAAAATTAGTTATTAAGAAAAGAAATCAAACCACTCATTCTTTAACTGCCCCATAAAAAGGAAAAGATGGGGAACAAAAGAAAATTAAACAGCTAACTAATTCGAACCAAAAAAAAGAGACAGACACGCACACACAAGAATTGTTCACTTCAGTGCACTTTAATAAAAGGGGCCAATGCATCATATCATCTTTATCACCAGGCCATTATACATTATTGGAGGGGCAGGAGAAGACGGAAGGTTACACTACCTAGAATCAATAAAAGAAAAAAAAAAAGAAAAAACAAGAAGGCCTTCAGAAATGGTTAATACTGTAAAAAAGTCAGAGAAAATAAAGAGCACCAAGGTCCAGGATTCAAATACTTAGAGATTAATTATCAGCTGAATTTCTCTTTGCAAAATGCTCCCTGTCACTACCACTGCCAAGGAAGCAGAAAGCTGTACTCTGAGCTAACAGTGCAGTTTCCAGATTTTTTTTTTCTTTTCAGAACCAGGTTCCTGTACTGCATGCTACAATCAACCAATGTTGAAGTAAAAAAGGCCTGGCTTCTTTGCCACGTTCGCAAGAAGGCAATATTCAGAATTGTCTTACCACATGTGAAGGCAAAAAGCATTTTTGGCTAGTAATGCCACCTGAAATGCCATACACGACCAAGGATTCAGTGACCAAGGATTCATCTATACCCTTCAAACTGTAGGACAGCTGCAGCATCATACCCCCTGTAGGCTTGTCTCATCCTATTAGTTTATTTTAAGTTTTATTTGGAAGAGACACTCAAATCACTTCACTCCCATCCAGACAATAGTTACTGTGTCTGTTTCCAAGTGTCTAACTAAAAAAGACAGAAAGGTGTCACATATACATACTTAATAGTATAGTAGGCCTATACGAAGCAGCTAGTGTTTGCTTCGGATTCGGCAGATTTGGGGGACAGTGATTCTATTTGGCAATTCGAATCACTGTCCCAAAATCGATTCAGCCGAATCTGATTTGGAGATCTGGCCACTGCCGAAAATCAGCTGAATGGAACAGGCCCCATCCCCTGCCCACTTCCCCAACCCCGTCAATGGCTGCCCCACCTGGCCCCAGCATCCTGGCACATTAAAAAAAAAAGCCCCCCCCACTCACTGGCTCCTGCCAGGCAGGGGGGTGATTCCCACTGCCCCACATTGCCCTGCACTGCATGGGGGGGTGGGGAGCTCTGCCACGAATTCCCAGAAGCCCTGACAGCCGCTGCGGCAGCTGGTAAGTGTGAGGCTTTTTTTTTAAGTGCCAGGATGCTGGAGCCAGGTGGGGCAGCCATTGATGAGGCTGGGAGAGCAGGTGGGTGTCAGGAGGTACTCAGGGGGGCTGACAGAGCAGGCAGGGGATGGGGTTTGGCAGGGGTCCCCCCCATGGTCCCCTCCCCCCTCCTCTAGCCCCGCTGTCCCGTCCCCTACCTACTGGCATGAAGTCCAGTTCCAGCTCCCCGCAGCAGCGAGTGGGGACTGCCCAAATCTCGTCAGAATTGATTCAGAGGCTTCAGATCAATTCAGGCCTTCTTATTGGTCTCCCGATTCGATTCGAGATTTGGAGATTTGGCCGCTGAATTGAATCAGCAACCAAAGCTTTGCACAGCCCTACTTAATAGTTATAGCCCTAATGATGCAAGCCAAAAATCTCAACTCTACTAGTAACCTCATAGCAACTTCCTCACCTTTATATAACAAACTGTAACAGTGCGCCTACCAGGGGTTCATGGATAGATTTCAGGGGGTTTGTGAACTTGGATAGGAAAAAAATTACATCTTTATTTTCACTAACCTCTAACTGAAATTTAGCATTTCCTTCAATTATGAATGTAGGCAACAAACCACAGTAGTATTAGCAGTACCTGTGACTTTGTCACCAATAGAAATCACAGATATTTTCATATCACATTACAGTTGTTGCAGATATCTCGAAATATTGTTTATGCTCATCACTACTTTGAAATTATTGTAGTTATTAGACCTGCTGCTAAAATCGCACATGATCACAGTCTTCCTGTCTACAGATGCTCATTATTCTGAGAAGGTGTCCATAGGCTTCACCAGACTGCCAAAGGAGTCCATGGCACAAAAAAAGTTAAGAACGCCCTAAAGGGAGTCCTGTGCAATTAATGCATATCCTTGAACAGTGCATTGCTACTCTCTCCTCTTGCAGAACTGATAGCTTCTGCAAAAAAGGTTGACAAGTGAAATTTTATACATCAGGTTTTGATGGTGAAAACTTAGCCTGCTCCTGGTGCCATAAAACAAAATGGTAAAGATGAACAATGGCTCTAATAGATTTAGATTTTTTTAAGTCAGGGATTAAGTCTCAGTAGGAAGTATTTTGTAAAATGCATGACAATCAAGTGAAACCATGCAACACATTCAGAAACTGTGAGAACAGTTAGAAACTCAGTTACTATTGGGCAACTACTTGGAGTTTCGATCTCTGAAGCTTTTTCAAAACACGTTCATGTACATGTAAGGGGAACATGAGCCATTCATAATAAACTACGCCCGTCTGGAGAAGGGAAGGATGGAATAAATGCAACATCCTCCCTTCTCTTAAGAAGAGCACTTCTGTACAGTAATACTCCTAGAGATTATCTTAAACTGTCTGCCATGCAATAGGCCCAAAATCACTCTTGCATCTAACATGAGGCTGACCCAGTAAGAGATTTTTAAAAACTTGTAAATTTATATTAGCTGAAAAGATTTGTTTAAACTGTTTTCATTTACTTGGGAAAAATCTAAGAAACAGCTACCACGAGCCCAATGAAGCTCAGAATTCACTCTGTTTTATGGACTGCAAAGGTTGTGTGTGATGAGCAGGCTGCCAGTCATTCCACTAAAGAGACCAGGTAGCCTGTAACAAACTATTTACTTGCATACCACATATACCTCTCCCAAATCCCCTCTCCAGAACTGGGCTGTGCATCCTAAGTAGGGAAACTGGTTTTCTACATGGAAAGGAGGAATGGATGGCAGTTGTAATGACAGCTGTGCTTCTCTCCCTGCCTGCCTGGCCCAAGGAAAGGATGGGTGGAGTTTATTGGTTAGAGCCAGAGCTACAGTATTAACTCTTTCATAGCTGCTGCTAAGATAGCAGTAATTTTGGCTAAGCTATTTCAGAAGCAGCCCTAAGAGAGTTAACAGTCCAGGTTTTGCTGAGGCTGCAGTGTATTCTGCCTCTGCTATCAGGATCACAATCCTGGGCTTCACATGTACCAGCAAGTTGAAAGATAAGCACCATGCAGCTAACTGGCTCCTGCCAGGTATGCAGCTTTGACTTTGCCAAGCAGGGGGAGATAGCTGACTGTCAGCATGGGGACCAGACAGCCTAGTATTTCCAACAGGCTAGGGCTGCCCCACTCCTGATGTTGACAATCAGCTGGTTGGGGACTGGGGCATACTGCACTTTCCACTTAAGACACCGCACAAATCAGCCACAAAGATATTCCACAGTTTAAGAGAACTAAATAAATAGATATATGTATATGAGCATTCCTCTTAGAGCCTTAGCAGATGTTACATTTACAGCAAGATTAATGTGTTAAGCATGCAATACATGGCAACATGCCACTCATTCAGATAGTCCATGGCACAGTAAAATGGGCAATCAGCCACAAAATCTTCCATATATATTATAGTTGAAGTTAACTCTGCCCCTTTAAAATTGGAGACATCATTAACCCTGTAGCCCTGGCTAAATAGCATGTCAAAGATGTCTACCAAATCTTTATGATATACAACCCTGTTTGGTGGGATAACAACCCTATCCTGCCACTAAGATCATAAAGGATTGAGTCCTTCTCACAATGCATTTACTGAAGTCAGCTCAGCAACATTAAAAGGGATAGAAAAGGGTAGATTTATTAAACATGCAAGAGATCAAAAATTGGAGTTATGAATTGCACCTACAAAAAAAAAAAAGAAGAAGAAAAAAAAGGAGAGTACAAAAAGGCACAGAGATGAACTTTGGTGAGCACGGACAGGCCAGTTACCTAGCAGCAGTGAAACCAGTCTGAACAGCATTCTAATTGGGAAAAGACTTTAAAGAGCGCTAAACTCAAAAGCAATATGAAAACTTCATTCCAGCAGGGGTTTTCTTTCTTTTTTTCTTTAAGCAGCCATGCAGTTCTGTTGATTTGCTGACACAGAAGCATTCAACCCCACAACAGAGCTCTTTGTTAAACTGCTGAGATAAAAAATTTGACAAACTTTGAAGTATTGCAGAGCAGGCAATGTTTTTAAAAACAAATCAAAGGAATGTGTGGACCGATATAGTTTATTTATATAGCATTCAGGTTCCTCATTTTTATGTAAGTAGTAAATATTTAGTTGCTGTAATTTGAACATGGTGATCAACCATCATGGACCTTCTGAATTTGTTTTCCAACTGAAACAGACTTTAAATCATGGGAAATTAAGCTGTCCCTTACCTTTCCTTCATTTCTGCAGGTACTTTGCTAAAGCAAGAAAGAAGGTCAAATTAAACAAAGATAGCTCATGTAATGTTGTAGTTTAAATATTTGTACTTCTCCTTAACTATGTCCAACAGTTATGTCCTACAGTGAAATGAGTAGGGTCTTTTGCACTATTTGACAATAGTTCTCTACAATAAAATACACTCAATTCAACAGTAAGATTTAAAAAGCCTTTTCAAGTAACAAAATACTCTATAAAATTGTCACTTCCTCAAAAATCTGCTTCAGGGCACTCTGTATATACATTTTTGCTTCTGTATTTGTTCTCTCATAACTTCAAAGACTCAAGTCATTATTACAATTAAATAAAATTAATTTGAATTTTATTTTTTAAATACACAAGATTATACACTTGTGAATTAAAGGCTATAACCATGATGGGAAATTCTAATCAGACAAAGTACTCCACTTTATGGCTAAAGAACATTTTCTGAAGTTAATCTTTCCAGTTTTTATCCATTACTTCTTTCCTTCCACCAGGTGGCATTGTTAGTAGGCACAAGTTACTGACAGTCTATGGATTCTAATTGTGTTATTAGAATTGTTTTGACCAAATCTTTTTCAAAAGTAGGGAGCTGCCAGCCTTTATGATGGACAAATGCCAGTGACCATATTTTCCCATTTATCTAGTTTCTGCCAACATCCATTTCTCAAAATGTACATAGCATCTGATGAAGTATGTTATTATCTATGAAAGCTCATGCCTCTCTGAACCAGTTGTCATTAAAAGGTGCCACCCTGCCCTGCCTTCTGCTTGACTTCAGGCTGAAATGGGTAACTACCTCTCTCCAGGCCTACAAAGATGCTGCTAGCCAAACTGGAAAGGAAACCTGTTAGAACCACAGGAAACTTCTGTTAGAAGAGAGAAGCTGTTAATAAGGCAGAGACTGCATTTAAGGATTTTTTTTGCACAAGTTTTCACCTATTGCCACCATAATTTAAACTCTATAGGTAAAAGCTACAGTAGAATACTGGTACAGGCAGATATCCAGGGAGCTTCTGACTTTTAATCACTGCATCTTCTAGGTCTGCTCAGAAGACGACAAACTCCTGGGGGCACAGAGCTATTATTATTTATACCAGCTGAGGATCTACCTCCTTGTCTGTATTACTGCTACCACTAGTGTGAAAAAACCAGGGAAACCTGAGAAAATGTTCCCTAACAGAGAAGGGGTTATTTCAGAAACATCTAAAGCAGCTGTTAGACTCAAGAAATCATCTGGAAAATGTCAGCTTTTAGCTTTCACTCAGTTTCTGATTACAGAAAAAAAACCAGAGCAACTCTACTGTAGCAAAGAACTCAGAAAAAACACAACAAATCAGAATGTTTTTGACACTATTGATTTCTACTTGAAATTTCTTGGTTTATTTTGTGAATCATGTAACGTTTGCATACCTAATAATGCTAATATTGTGCCACATCCACTGGCACCCTTGAATGGATCTCACAGTACCCTGGTTGAGAATCACTGATCTAAAGGTACATGTGCATGAACAGCAAAGATGTAGTCATACCCAAGCTAATCTGGGTACCAAAAGCATAGCAGCACAAATTTTAGCACAGCCAACAAAACAAACCCAAGAACTGGGTAGATGCTTAGCTAGTTAGTCCCTGCTGAATCTGCGCTATGGCAAACCTGCTCAGTACCTGAGACAGCTCATTTGTCTACAGAGCTGTAGTCACACCTTTGATCACAGTCCCTTGCGAGATTCAGCTTCCAAGTACCTAACTTTTAATGAGTTTTGGGCTATATCTACTGTGCAAACATTAGACTACTACTCAGCAAGCTAAATTAGGGTATGAAGAGTTCCCTGCTGTGTCTGGTATCTACACTGGCACATCAACACCAGTTTGGTTATCTCTGCATGGCAGTCTGCAGTACAGACTCATTCTTAGGTTCCTAAGGACTCAAGTCATTGATGAAGAGTAGATTTATGCTCTTATTTCACTTAAATGCTTTTGAAAATTTTAGACAAAAGCCAACATGCTGAACATTAGAAAAATCCAGGCTATGCTGTATATCACTAGCGCAGGGGCAGGCAATTACTTTGGCTAGAAGCCCGCTTAACAAGGTTTGGTGAGCTTTTGAGGGTGGCATGAGTAGCCCCTGCCCCTTGACGGTTTCCCTGCCCCCTGGTCACCATCTTGGGACCAGAAGTCCCACTCCTAACCCCTGATCTTTGCCACCAGAAGCCCCTGCACTAGAGGGATGAGAAATAAAGAGACACAGATAGTCACACTGAGGTTAAGGACACATCTACTTAAAAACTATTTTAAACTAGAAAGTAAACACACTTTCTGTAGATAATGCTGCAAAAGTACTGGAATTAAAAACAGAGCTTATTGTATTCATATTCCCAAAACAGTATTAATAAGTTAGAGTTGCACAAAAGAATCAGCACATTGCTCAGGTTTGGATTGAACATACCTGGTCTTGTACTTGTAACACTGAAGACATTTGTTCTGAAGTCTCTAGGTTTTCCGGCTTTGTGGGATTTGCATTTTGTTGCATTCCAGAGTTTGATATAATATTTAAGTCATTGATTTGATTCTAAAAAAGGGACATAGTGCATGAATACATCCATTTCCAATCTTTCCACAGTGACTACTACAATTCCATCTGCACTTGCTTTTCATTTGTCTTGTAAACAATAAACAGCAAGTTGATTTGTGTAAGTTTTAGGTTATAACACGATATTAAGACATCTACCACCTGGAATCTACTAGCCATGCTCACAAGTGTCTTGCTGTTTAATTATCAAAAACATAACAGAAATTTTGCTCCATATTATCTGCATTTAGAAACAAATCCAATGTATAAAAATGATGCGGGTTTACAGGATTACAGGTTTCCCTCAATTTATGCAGGCTCTGTATATGCAAATTCATTGTTCTGAGATGAGCATTTTTAGGCCCATAATTCGTTAGACATGAGGTAAATTCACTCTTATGCGATCGGTATAGGCGCCACCCCCTGAAGCAGTTAAGTCTGTGGGGGGAGGGGAAACGGCCGTGGGGCTGGGGCCCCACTCACCCTGGCCCCTGCTGCAGCGGCCCTGGGGGCGGCCAGTGCCAGCAGCCTGCAGCCACTGGGCTGCACCATGCTCCATCTGTCCCCTTGTGCCCGTGCTCCTCCTGTCCCCACTCACCCCAGCTCCTGGGCTGCGCCATCCCCTGCTGCAGGCAGATGCTGTCAGCTGCTCCGAGGGCCATTGCAGCAGGGGCTGGGGTAAATGAGAAGAAGCAGAGCCCTGGGCTGCACTGGGTGTGGTACTCACCTCAGCCCCTACTGCAGCGGCCCTGGGAGTAGCCAGCGCCAGCTGCGGAGGTGCGCACCTCTTACTGCTCCGTGCCCTGTGGGAGGGCTGCAGGCTGAGAGGCTCTTCCTGGGGGACGTGCACCCAGATCTGCACAAGGGACAACAGGAGGCTCCCAGTGCAGGCTGGGGCCAGCGAGGCGCAGTGGCAGCCTGCTGTTGTTCTGCGTGCAGATCTGGAGGCAAACCGCCCCCCCAGTCTGCAGCTCTCCCAGCAGTCATGGAGTAGCAAGAGGTGCCTCCCCCTGCACCTGCTGACGGTTCCCTCTGCAGCTGGTGTGGGCGGCTCCTGGGGTGGAGCCCAGGCATGGGGGGACAGGCAAAGCAAGGTGCAGCCCAGCAGCTGGCGCTGGCAGCTCCCAAGACTGCTGCAGTCAGGGCTGGGGTGAATGCCGCTCTGTTCCCTCTGCTTTGCTTCCTTGTGGAGCCCTGGGAGTGGCACCCTTCCCCCTGCCCCTTCCCTAGTCCCAGCCTCCCTCCTTCACTGCCACGGGAACCTATCCCTATTTGTTGCATTATAAAGTGGGTTCACTTTATGTGAATTCAATTTATGCGCCGTTCTTCAGGAACACATGTACCACATAAAAATCAAGGGAAACTTGTATGTTCTTTATAAACACCATAGCTGTGAATGATAAAATTTGCTACACGCTGTTATTGCAAGAACTCTAACTAGATACCTATAAGAATACTTTGCTTATATACTGCAGAGTTAAGCTTTCAACTATTGAAAAATGACCTATGCATTGGATTCAGTTTTCTCTACTGTCATGGTTCAATTGTGTGAATGCATTTATGGAGTAACAAGTTAAAACTGTAACAGTGCAAAGTAAGATGACCAAAGCAAACACGGAACCATCTGAAATAGAAGAACTGATGGTATTTACAGATCAAGCAAGCATATTAACTGTATGCCATAAGAAAAATAAGCCAGCTTCAAGATGCAAATGACTTTTCACTTTAGTATTGTTTGAGACATCCATTAAGAAGAGCTGAAATCAACAGGGAAACTTACTGTTAGAACTTCAGCTTATGCTAAAATATCTCTGAACACCAGCATCAAATTACATCAACACAATAATAGGTAGGGACCTAGTGAAATCATGATTTCAGTGATTTTCACAGAAACCGCAATTTTGGTGTGGGCAGGCACCACAAAAAAGGTGCAGGTCTGTGCTTTTGGCAGACTCCCTGGTTAAAAACAAGAAACAAACCCCAACCCCCGCCCCCACTGAAAATAAAATGCTAGCTCCCTCTGGGAAGCCAGCAGTCCTTGTGGCCATTACGGCCCAGTCACACAACCCGTGACAGAGAAGGGTGGCTGCTGACATGGCAACACGGTTGGCACCCCTGCCCCTCACCACTGCAAGGGCTGTCCATCATATAGCCCTGCCCTTTGCCAATCAGTGGTGAGGGGCAGGGTCACATGACAGACCACCCTCGCAGCCAGTCAATGACAAGGGGCAGGGCTAATGGGGCCTGTTGGCTAATCAGAGGCATGGGGAGGCCTGCTGTACTCCACCTGCAAAAATGGCTCCCAGGCCTGCAGCCTGCCTGTGAAATCAGACAGCAGCCACCTCGACTTCAGTAGACCCCTAATAATAGGAATAGTTGTTGTTACCAGATTTATAGCTGCACCAGTTAAATAAATTACATTCTACACCACTGCTAGAGGTTTTAATTTCTTCCCATAGTAAGACGCACAAGACGTGATGATTTTTTGTTTTAGTCAATAATAAATGCTAAAATAAAGAAACACAAGAACAAGACTGCTTGTTTAGACTCAATGGAATTTCCATCCATTCACATCCGCTTCTAATATTAAGGAAATAACATGCCTTGGCCCTGAAATACTCAGTTTTGTGGCTTACATCTTGACTTGTTTTTCCTTTTGAAGTACAGGCTGAAATATGCTGCACTGTCTTCCTTAAACAGAAATACCATAAAAAACACTCACTCACTTGATATATAAAAAACCCCCCTCTCAGTGCATTCATTTTCACATATGGACTTGATGTAGGGAGTGCTTGTAGGATTAAACTGATTTAGAAGCCTAGATTAAACCACTCAGGCCTTTATCAATCTCTTTCTAGTTCTCTCCCCCTTTCTCTCTCTGCCTCTCTGCCAGTCTCATGTGGGCTGCACACAAGGATTACTGTATGATCCATCTGGAATGTACCAGGAAGATAAGTACTTTCTGCTCTTAAACACTAAAATACAAATTAATGCGTAATTATTAACTTCAGTGCCCTAGAATAACTTTAAAGGAACAGAATAGGCAATTTATTTGACAAAACTATGTTTACAGCAAATATGTTTATTGAAATAATACAACTTCATTACGGAAAATACTTGGAAACAGCAAACAGAAACAATCTATTATTAAATGTTTAATATTAAAGTCAATCTGTGATGAGATTTATTAATCAAGTTGGTTTGCTTATTCTTTTGATCACACTTGGATATTTCTTCCTTTGGAATTTCTCAGTTGGGGAAATTTTACAGCAACATAAGTCTAAAGGGAAAAGTTCACAGCATTGCCTTTAGCTCTGGATTTGCTTGATAGCTTGACACTTACATCACACAAGGCAACAGAACTAGAAAGACTGGGATTTGAATTCCTTTCTAATACCTTTCAAAGAAGAGAGGCAAATAAGCTGTATCTACAATAGCTGCTGCATTTCAGGCTCAACCCTTGTCTGGACTGCCTGACAACAGCTGCAGAATTTTACTGGCTATTTTGGAATTTTTATACCACTGCTGTTGCCGAGTGTCCTACCTGCCTGAGGACACTGAGGAACTTCAATTATTCCCAGGAGGTTTTCAGTACTGTCTCATAGACAGGATCTCTAACAATGAAGAGGGAACTGTAGTTAATAGGTAGTAGATTAGAATAAACTTTCCAAATCACTTCTAAGAACGATCTGTTGGAAGGAATGTTGTTTGATGCTGCAAGGAGGGGGTGGGGAATAACCCTAAAACAACTCCCCCATCCCCTTAAATAAGGCAGTCATCCCAAGGTTTAAACAGTGAGCTCTTGTGCATTTTCTCAAAGCTATTTTTTGCTAAGGTGCATTTTTCTGAACCAACTACTGGCATTATTATTGGGCATATATGCTCTTTCAATAATGTCAATACTCATAAAATTAGAAGTTGGTTATTTGCACACGTGAATCACAAAAACTCAGATTTCATAGAGTGGATCATAAATGATGCAATGGATTTTGGGGAATGGGCTTAATAAATATACAACTACCTTGACCTACTAGCTTCCCTACTGTTCCAGAGTATGGAAGCAAGAGCCACAGTGGCTGGTGCAGAACAATATTTGAAGATGGTGGAGAGAAGGCAATTTTCCTCTTCAGTTGTCCTCTGCTGTTTGCTTTGGTACTGTGGCTATGTGTATCTATTTGATTCTCTGACCCACCAGCATATTGGGTAATATAATTAAACTTTGAAAAATATCTTCCACAATAATTATTTAAAAATGACCTGACAAAAAGGTGCCAGATTCACAGCCCCAGAAACAAATCAAGTATTAATAAATCATAATACACAGGACGGCCAGTGTAAGCTTCCTTTGAAAAATGTCACCATTTTGTTCCCCAGCTGACCTCCTTTAGAGGTAGAAGGATGGCTCATCCAAACTCTGGCCTCTTTGTAGAAGTTGCTAAATAAATAAAAAAAAAAAGTGCCAATACTATTAATGCACAGTTTTTGTTCTTTTGTTTTTTTTTTTTAAAAAGTAATGAGCCGTGAACAAGGCCTTTTCATCAAGCAGAATGACTTAAGCCGAGTCGTAATATCCCTTTCAGGACAGAATCCCTTACCACTCTTTTTATGCTGTTGTGTCTTGGTCATAGGATCCCAGCAAGATAAGCATCCAATTTGCTCCTGAAGGTGTTCAATGTAGGTGCTTGAACCACCTCCCATGGCAGGCTGTTCCAGACCTTGGGGGCTCAGACAGTAAGGAAATTCTTCCTTATGTCCAGCCTGAAACGGTCTTGTAGTAGTTTATGACTGTTCGACCTCATCATCCCTTGGGGCACTCTGGTGAACAA